TGTGGGTGGGTGTGGGTGTGGGTGTGGGTGCGGGTGTGGGTGTTGGTTGGGTGTGGGTGTGGGTGTTGGTGGGGTGTGGGTGTGGGTGTCGGTGTGGGTGGGTGTGAGTGTGGGTGTGGGTGGGTGTGGGTGTGGGTGTGTGGGTGTGGGGTGTGGGTGTGGCGTGTGGGTGTGGGGTGTGGGTGTGGGGTGTGTCACGCACACCCACACCTCATACAACCACACCCGCACCCATACCCTTATTATATGTTTAGGCGTTTTCTCATAAAACTTCCATCGATAATATTACATAGTACTATATATATAATTTTCTAACAAGCAATTGATAACTGATTACTTGAGCGGTAATCGAAACACTTGTCTTGCTAGCTTTTGATTGATTTTTATAATTATTCTATATCATACAAACAGACCCACACCCACACCCACACGCACCCACACCTACATCCACACCCACACCCCAAATTTAAAATCAATGGATATTAATATTGAAGAAAATTTATTATTATTAGATAAACTTTGTTTAATAAGAAGACCATTATTTAATTAATTGTCATTTATTGAAAGAGCTGAACACAACACAAGAGAATTGAACCGAATATTTAATGATCAAAAAGATGTTAACATATCAAACCATGTTAGATAAGAAAAGATATGAAGAAGAATTTCATTTGGTAGTGTTTCCATTCTATTTATTATTTTATGTAAAAAGAAAGATAGATTATACGTTTTATTTTTTTCAGATTCCATCATTGTTGAACATCAATGGATGATGTAAGTAAAGAAATGAAAACCAAAAAGATTATATTCCATTTTTCAACACCCTATGAATATTAGTAATTAGTGTTGAAACAGTTTTTAGTTAAATTAGAAAATCATTTCTTTGAAATATAAAAACCCATCAAGATCTTCAGATTTCAGTGAAACATTTGGTAAAAGATCATATCATTTTTTTAATTTATCCCAACGTTATACAAATATATGAGATTCACACTGTCGATCTTATACCTTTATTACTTCATTTTTTGATCTAATTATTGTACCAGAAGAAAAAGAAAAATATTCGTTTTACAAATATGTGGAAGAGGTTGTGAATGTGTGGACATGAGAAAGACTTGTACCCACACTTTACGACATATCTATGATTGGTTAGAAATTAGCGTATGATCTTTTAATCTATTAATTGAATTTCCTCACAGTTAGTACATCAGATCAGTATGTTCTATGTAATAATAAATAGATCGAAGCCTTATTTCGAACGGCATATAAGACATTTAATAATTTGTTTATACCTCTATAATGTTTTTTTTTGTATCCATTGATTATCACATTATCTAATATCATTCATTGTTTTCGGCTCTTCAGAGCGAAAATAGTCGGCTGAAGTCGATCGTCCGACTGATTCTATTCTATTCAATGATCATATATAACTGTCGTCAGTTGTGAATTATATAGCAACTGACCTACACATTATTATCACTTCGCCCTTCCGTTTTGCCTGACTACGATCACTCGACTGTGTTTTCCTCTTGATTTCAGTTCATGAAATATCTTTTCTATTTTTCTTGTAGATTAAAATAAAAAAAAACTACACAACTATGGCTTCAAATGATGGCGAAGAAGAAACTGTACAAAAATTGATAGACAAACTACTTGACAAGGAAAAAAAAATACAACAAGTAATCAAACAACTTAATGATGAAATCGAAAAATTGAAACGTGAAGCTGAAGAAATTGAACTGATCGAGGAAACAAAACATCGGGATGAAATCGAAAAAATGAAATATGAAGCTCAGGATAGGCAACAAATTCAAGAAGCAATACATCGATATGAAACTAAAAAATTCGAGCGTGAAATTGAAACAATGAATCGTGAACTTGAAATAATCAAACGTAAAACCGAACAAATGAAACGTAAAAATGAACTAACGGATCGTAAAACTGAACAAATGAAACGTAAAGCTAGAATAAAACGACGGAAGCTAGAACTCGAATTTACTTCATCAACTAAAAAACGTCGTAATGTATTTAAATCTCATGATTACTTTTACGATATCGATGTACCGGATGATTTGCACTCGTTCGATATTAATGTAGTATTAAAGGACAATAATTATTTTAATGATAATATATTAAATTATATTGAACATTATTCAAATCAATTTTCATCATATCCTAAATTAAACGAAGAAGAAATTCAAAAAGAATTTGATCAATTAATTGTTAATTTATTAAATACATTGAATAATTCTACATCATTGAAATATTTAAATACATCTTCTTCATATTATTTAGAAAATAAGTTTAATCCTTATTGTACATTTATATATAAAAATATAAATATCAATATTGATCAAGAAGAGCCATTTTTAAAAGATTTTGTTGTTTGTCTTGGTAATTTAATATCTCCATATATTTCTTTATCAGCAGATTCAATGATTGAAGAAATATTACAATATTTGACAATGATATTGGCAGCACAACATCGTGAAAAGATATATGGTTTTCTTAGTAATTATACACACATCAAATTTTTTTATGTGAAAAAGAAATCCGATTCGGAATGGTATGAATTTTTTCAAAGTCAAGAATTAGAAATGTTTACTTATTCGTCCGAAACATTATCGTCTATTAATATGTCAACAACAACTGAAAATATAAGAAAATTAGATGTTAATAAAGATACATGGAAAATATTTACAAATTTTTTAACAATGAATACTGACTTTTATCAATATACAAGATTAAAAATAGAACCTCATGATAATTTACTTGATAATCGATATATTATAACAAAAAAATTAGGATCCGGTGTATCATCAATAGTTTATTTATTAAAAAAAACTGAAGATAACCATTCAGTTGAAGATTCACCACATTATGTAATGAAAATATTAAAAGAAAGTAAATATTCAAAATGCTTTCGAAAAGAATTTAAAATACCAAAAAGATTAAAACAATTTAATGATTTAAATAAATTTCATTTATTTTTTCAAGATATTATATATCCATTATCTTCAAGTAAGGCATTTGTCTTTTGACTTTTTCTTCACTTTTTCTACAGATTCAAAGTCTATCGTGAAAAATAATGTTGAATTTATATTTCTTCAATGCAATTTATTTGAACAAGACGACTTCGTATGAAACGAATACTTTTTTATCTTGATGATTTATTAAAAGAGTAAGAAGAGAAATATCTGGATAATACAATCGATTGAATATAAGAGTTAGTCTTGGTTTTTAAATATTTTTAAAGTATATAAAAGAAGGCAAAGGAGAATAATTATGCAAGTTTATTTTCATGTGCATATATGTATATAAGTTTTGTCTTAGATGAAAATACATATAGGTTGAAACAACATCTTAAACAAGGATAATGATGATTATTAAAATATTTGTTATAAAAAAAGCACGAAAGAATCATCATTTCAAATAAGATTAGTTAAAGAAAGAGATCATTTTTTATTCTTATTCCTAGAAGATAAGTGAAAGCTCGATGAACATGTTTTTACTACTCAAGAACAACAGATTATAGGAATAAGTACTCTAAAGTTAGTTTCTACAGCAAAGCATGGAATTTTTGTGATTAAACGTGTTATTTTTTATTTTCGACAAGTTCAAATGCATCGGTATTTATTTATAATGTGTTTAATGACGTTGCTTTATCGAACGTATATTGTTTTTAGTTTAAAACAGCATCTAAAACTAATGTATAAATGCGTTCCTGAGCAATGGTCTTCTACTTGTAGTGGAATATTTCGAGTAAAAATACAACTGTAGGAAATAAACTCAGCTAAAATTTCCAAGTATCGGATCCCGTTGTAGAAATGAATTTCATGAGTGATATGCAGTAGAAGCTATTTTAATATTGAGGAATAAAGGAATAGTTGTAAAAGAAAAAACACAAATATAAATAAATTTAGTCTGATTGAAATACATGACATTAGTTATTTACCTTAGAAACTATATATAAGTTGATATGTGAATAGGAATTTAATTGAATCTCTTTTGCTAAATGTTTATCTTTTTCTCTATAGTAGCTCCAATGAATAATATTTATTCAAAAAGAAAAATGTACTCCGAACGATCATAGTTCTTTCATTTTCATCAAACATTCTGCAGGAGGGATGTAGACAACAACTGGAACTTTATTTTTATCACTGCATCTTCCTCTTTTCATATGATTTCTTATTATTAAACTTAAAAACAGAAATGCCGAGTATCTTTGTCAAGAAAAATCTTTGTTTTTCCACTGATTAAGTAATATTTTTTTTTGAACAGATGTTGCTGGTCTTAGAGTAGTAGTATATATTGAAAAAGTATGTTGGCAATCCTATAGAAATAAGAGTATGGATATGTACTACTAGGACAAGTGTGTAGCGTATAGTCGTAATATGATAGATAGAAAGCTCTATGAATAAAAGTATAGATGTAATGCACTAGGGTTAAGGATATAGGGATAATGTATATATGCTCAAATCTTTAGCCATATATCTCTAGTCCTACATGTCCATTTAAGAAAAAGGAGGATAAATAGATAGAAGTTGAGTTATGCAAGAAAAATATGTATTATATATGAACGAAATTCATCTTACAAGCTGAATTTTTAAATTATCCATTTATCTTTCTAACCAAAACAATATTTTTTAATTAACTAAATTAAATTAGTAAAATTTTCGTCGCATTATTTTTGTAAAAGATCAACGTTGTATCGATCAGTTCCATTAACGATATTATTCACCATGAGAGGAAAAACTTAAGATATAAATCTATTGTTTCATAAACAAGATAGATAACACAAAGCGAAGTTTTTGAAAATGATGTTTACTAGAATAAACTTGCTTTCAGTCTAAATCAGAGATGATATAGGTTCGGTTCTTTGTTAAATTGATACAGTTTAAACAATCTTCTATGTATAATTCAAGAAACTTGAATGAGAAGAGATATCAAAAGTATCAATGACAATATTGATATATTTTCTTGTCTGAGAAAAGTAGAATGAAAACAAACTACGTAATCATAGTCAATAGAGAGTTTGTCATCTATGTTTTATGTCTCCTCACGTTGGCCAAAGTACACAGGATATTCGTCGATTGACGAACATGTTGTAAGCGAAGTTCCCGTCGCACAATGAATTACTTAATCTACTAATTATCGTTGTCACTTGCTCATACATCGAATGTGTCGCATTATTTTCAATCTTTATCTGTTGCAGAAATTATTTCGAACTTAAAAAATAGTAAAAAAAATTAAATTTTTGTTGACATAAAACATCTATTTTTCTCTTTGGTTCGGTTCCGTTTAAATATTAAAAAAAACTGAACCGATCCCATCTCTGATCTAATCTTGAGAATTCTATCACGAAATTTAGTGATTGATATGATCTTTCTAATAAAGAACGTAGCTCAGTTATGGATAAAAGAAAACAAAATGTCTTAGAATAATTTTCAAGACTTTAACTTTCATTCATATCTGCGATTATGATTAAACAGCTGTTTATACGATTCATTCGTAGTTAGATAAAATAATTAATAAAAAGAATGTTTTTCGTAAGTAATTTGTTTCGGTACAAGACTACATTCTGAATTTACCTATGCTTCAAAATAATATTTTATACTATCTCTAAATTTTTTATTGTTTGTATTCAGATAAATATTTATTCTATGAAAAAGAATTACAATGTATAGAATCATTATCATTGATACAATCGAAACAACTTATTGATATAGTTCATTATTTATATGATTGTGGTGTTATTCATCGTGATATAAGTCCACAAAATTTAATGTTAGATCGTGATAATAATCATATAAAATTAATTGATTTTGGTTTTGCCATTGCAGTTAATATCGATAACAAGGGAGGCAGCATAGAAATGATCGGTTCACTTATATACGCTAGTGAATCATTTTTAAATTTTTATTCAAAATTATTAACTGGCCGAGTTTTCCCATATTATTTTTATGAGCCAGCGTTCGATTTAATATGTGCACTAAATATTATAATGGCCATGAGTAATGCTGATATTAAACGAAGTATTAATGCAATTCGAATATTACAAGATGTTAACGAAATAGTATTAAAGTCATCACAATTATGGAAAGATACTAAACGTACAAATAAACATTATTCAAATTTATTCACTTTAATAAAGAAGCTGGATTCATGGTATCCATTCAATCGATTAGATGAAGCAGATTATTCAGATGAATCAGATGATGCGGATCAAACATCAGTTTCTAATGTTTCAAAAAGACAACCAGATCAATCAGCAATTTTTGACGTTATAAAAGATGAAATAGAAAAACTTTTCGATATGTGAACAATTATATTCATGCTCTTTTTTCTATATCACATGCTCATGTCATTCATTTAAAAATTTCACATAACATATCTCATTAATACTTTTCCATTCATTTCGTTTCCTTGTTTTCTTATTATTTTTGTTGTTTGTTAATTTTGATCTTTATCCATATATAAACAAGCATAGTCGTAAAAAAAGATAATTTTTTCATTTATTAAAACGCGTTTTTTTGAATTTTTTAGTCTAAAGATAAGAAAGCTAGGGATGCAACAATTCTTCCGATAGATTTGGATTCGGCATCAAACCCTTAGGAATTGGGTTTGGATTTGGATTCGTATGCTATGTTTGGATTTGGAGGGTGTGGGTGTGGGTGTGTGGTGGGTGGGTGTGTGGGTGTGGGTGTGGGTGGGTGTGGGTTGGGTGTGTGGG